ATACCAGCCGTGAAGGAAGAACATCTGCCGGCGGTGCCGTCGCCAGGTACAGCTGTCCCCTCGCCTTCCTCGGTGAGGACGGAAGGCCCACCGACCCCAGGGACGAACGAAAAAAAAGCTGGCAAGTCCGCGCAACCGTCCCCATACTGCGACTTCTGTCTGGGCGATGCTAGGGAAAATAAAAAGACCGGCGGCTCCGAAGAGTTGGTCTCTTGCAGTGATTGCGGTCGCTCAGGTAAGCCAGAGGAAAAGATCAAGCGCAAGTATACGCGGAGAACGAATCACAATTAAGCCACGGTTGTCCCCTGGTCTGTTGCGTTTAAGCAACGATATCTATAGCGTTTTCCGGGAACGATAATCGTCGTGTATCGTATTCGTCGATTGAACATTCGCAGCCGGGGATGTGGCTCTTCTCGTTTTTCGATAATCAATCCCCGCGCTATCGGCTGTGTATATGGGGATGAGTATTTTGTTCGGCACGATTGGAGTATTTGTGAAATACCGTTGTTCGTTGAATTGAGAGTTAATTTTCGTTAGTCGAATCGAGTATTTATTAGCCTTATAGCGTTCTCTAGGTCGTTCGTATTTATGATCCTTAACAATTTCTTAATATTTATATTTTCTTTAGTTTATATTTTCTTAAGTTTAAAAAGAATATAAAAGAATTGTTTATGTGAAATATCAATGTGATAAAAATACTAAGGAACGATCTTATGCTAAAGATTATTTTAAAACGTTATATGTCTTTCTATTCGTTAAAACGAGATCGAGACAAGGCTAAAAAGATATTTTATGAACGTTGTGTTTTATATAGTGTTCGGTCATTCCCTTCGATGGACTTAAATGGACTTCTGTTCATCTCTTTCCGGAGAAGATATATCGGGGATAAATGTTATTGTTATGGAGGGAGCCACACCTTGGTGCTCCCTCCTTTTCCAATTGCCTATTTGGACCATTGTCTTCCGGAAGTATGAAATCAGTTGCGTCTACCTCTTTCCTTAACGAATTATCATATACAAAATATTTAATATTCCTTACTCCTTTATAGTCCACTTTTACGTGTCTCCTTTTTTCCAGTCTTCTTGTTGCCTCCTCTTCTCACGAAAAATCGGCAATGAACAGCAAGATTAAAATTTGTCAAGTCCATCAATAGGAAGTGATTTTAAAGTTTAAACTTTTATCGCCCCATAAAACACGGTCAACAGCGCGCGTTTTCATCTCTTGTGTCTCCTTACGATCCGCGACTTGTGTTCATACGAGGCATAAGAGCCGAGGAATTATCGCGTTTCTTCATTGTTCGTTCGATCATTCGTATTGATCGTGGTCGATTAATTAACAATCGTTTATGGTTGAACCGTTCGTTTGTTGAACTAGACTTTTGTATCCGTATCGTAAGGATCGTTTTTTCTTTTCTGTTCGTTGTAGACGAATTTCGTAGACGAATCATTGTTATTGTCCATCGTCGACTCGGAGGTTATCATACCGATTCGATCGCTATTTTTCATACCGTTAAGGATAATTCGATTTGTCCGTGAGAGAATCGTAATGAAAGAAAAAAAAGGGAATTTAAAAAAATGGAGAAAAGTGCTGAAAAAAAAGTAAGAGAATAATATACTATTTTTCGGATTGAGGTTAGGTTGACAAACTAGTTGCTGTGTCACATACGTTCGGAACCATCGTTAAAACGTAGTTCATGTGCAATAATTAAGGGATATCGATTATCTGCACGGTTTTCTAGGCGGACAAAAATAAAAAGGTAGAGAGAGAGAGAGAGAGAGAGAGAGAGAGAGAGAGAGAGAGAGATAGAGATAGAGAGAAAGAGAGAGAGATAGAGAGAAAGAGAGAGAGAGAGAGAGAGAAAGAGAGAGAAAGGAATATGAATGGTTACGAGCTTTACGTACACTAGTCAAGGCACGAAAAGCAAAAACATCACTTTGTCAATGGTGCAACTTGTCGCATCTGAGTAATAGGAATTTTCCACGAAATTCCTTTACTGCACGGATCAACTGTGATTTATTGTGTAATTCAATGATTAGTTTTTAAGGGATAAAAAAATTTTTACGGAGGAAAGAGGAACAAAAAGAAAAATGATAAACAAATAGAAAATGAGGAAGGTTAACTATGTACAAAAATCAATTGAAGTTGAAGATACACGAATCTCGCTCTGGATATTTAAGAGGGAAAGAAAGAAATGCGAATGAACAAAAAAAGATTGAGGAAGAGAGAAAGATAAATCATCGATAAGATTAATCGTACAATTTACGCGAAAATTTTTGATGAAAAGAGAGAAAAAAAATTTGTAGATCGCGAAATCGACGTGTTTGAAAGTTTTTTAAAGAAACAAAGAAAACAAAAAGAAAAATGAACAAAAGAGAAGAAAAATAACAAAATTCCTGTTGCACAGTATCACTAGAGCACATATTGAAGAAGATGTGTTTGTGTTCTCTGTTTGACTACAGTGTAATCGTGTGGTTTTTTTTATCGTTGTTTCGTTCAAAAATCAAAAAATAAAAAAAGGATCAATAAAAAAGGACGAAGCTTGCCGCGAGAATTGTTCGTTCCATATGATCGCGAAGTTTTAAGAGAGCTTAAAGAACAAAACGATACGATATACAATATACATATATTATATATATACTTTATATTATTGATATTATCCAGCACAGTCGTGAATCGTTTAACGAGAGCAACAATATTTATATATAGTAAGACGAAACAAAAGAAATAACAGGATCGACCATGTTTTTTCGATACTTCTACACTTTTTCAAATTTGTAAATATCCTTTTTTATTTTACGTTTTTTCGAGTGTTTCTATTTACAGAATATATTACCATAGAATACCACAGCATAAGAGCGCAGCACATATAACGCTAGTAAACAAGTACTGTCGTTCAAAATACTCAATTAAAAAAGTCACAAAAAGAATATTCATTTTTGCGATTCGACCATAATTCATTATCATATTATTTTCTTTTTTAATATCTTTGCTACCGATACGTTGCATTTTTCTTGGAAAGTACAATAAAGAGGAAAGTTGATTTTTCGTACGAACGTAGCAATGTTTAGTAAACAGTTGTGTCAGTAAATTCACGATTGATTATCCGTCAGCTTTTAATGCAATAATCATAGATGGCATTAAATAATCGATTTACAGCATTTTCGAGAATCGTAACGAAAAATCGCGGATTAAAAAATTAAATAATATTATTAAATATTATTAAATAATATTAAATTAAAAAAAAAAATAATTTTTCAATTTTCAATTTCACTTTTTTTTCGCGTAAACATTCCACATATTTATAAATCTGCTGCTCTTAAAATCTTCCGTTTCGTTCTGGGCATTAATCGTTTCCGTCTCACGTTGCAAATGTAATACATAATATAGTAATCGCCTTTTTATCATTCGTAATCGTCATCAAATGACGAGTATATTTATTGCATACATCGAGGGAGAAAGAACAAGTGAAGCGACGACATATGCAAGCGAAACATGCGTATATAGAGTGAGAGAGAGAGAGAAAGGTTGTAAAAACTATCGATAATTCTTCCTTTTCTTTCCAAACGAATTTCTCCAGTCTTTAGGCAGCATTTCGACCATACGTCGTGTTTTAACGATATGAAAAAAGATGAAGAAAAAAGAGATAAAGATATATCACGTAATCTTAGAAACTCGATAATAGCTTAGTTTTATACAAGCTTTGATATTCGTACAAGAAAATATTCTATATCGCTAGAATTAACGAGAAGAAAAGAATACAAGGAAAGAAAAAGAAAAAAAAACAGAAAAAATTCGTCATTTTATTGTTTGTACAATATTCCACGAGTTTCTCTCGTCGTAGCGGAGAGGTCGTCGCCGTCACCATTCGTATTTAATTAATCAACTCTCCACTCACCACTCCCGAACGGTACTGCAATCCGCGCGTTCGTTTTCCATTACTAGTAGCTGGTTTCCAACGCTAACGTTATATCATTATCATAGATTTACGAATAACCGATGCAAGCGAGTTGTAACGTACGTACGTGTACTCGACATTTTCCCTTGTTATCACCTTTACATCCGATGTGTAAACAAGCGCAGTGGGTAGATGGTTAATTTCTACGGTGCGTCTGATTAACCGACCGGAATTGCACAGCGCAGAAACACACGCAGAGGAATTACCTAGGGTTTATATCGTCTTTAAGTGTTACACGCAAGTTCTTTTGTGTCTTTCTGCTGAAAAACGTCGTCGACGCCAGTTTCGCGTCTGATTAACCGACCGGAATTGCACAGCGCAGAAACACACGCAGAGGAATTACCTAGGGTTTATATCGTCTTTAAGTGTTACACGCAAGTTCTTTTGTGTCTTTCTGCTGAAAAACGTCGTCGACGCCAGTTTCTCGAGTCTTACCAAAAAAAAAAAAAAAAAAAATGGGAGAAAAGAAATGAAAAAAAAAAAGTGAAGATAGGAATAAAATAGTGGAAAGAAGAATATATATAGAGAGGGAAAAAAAGAGCGAAGGAACATGAAATGTGTTTAACCCCTTACCTTACGATTTAAATTCCAGTAGTGCGTGCCATAAACAACAATAAGGTCGGTCACACGTCGTGCCATTTCACGATTTGGCTGTGCAAATCGCACATGTTTCTCGATACATAAATGTATGTATAAGGTACAACTAATTTTATTTTGCAAGATGTTTGATAAATAATCACTACCAATTGATCATTTAACAAGAAAGATTGACTATCTTGAAGTGAATAACAAATCGATAACATCGAGGTGTACCACGTGTCTCACACGTGTTGTTTATGTTTGGCCCGATCGACGTTCCACGTCTCTCACACGACATTGTAGGTTAAGGGGTTAATAACACGAGATCCTTTAGGTTTACTTTATAGCTTAGTAGCGCTCGTGCGTCGAGAGAGAAATAAATCTGAAGGTGAATCACTATCGTATCTTGATGAACCCTTCTGTTTATCGTATTAAGAGAGATTCACACACCTAGTATAAGAGAGAGGATGAAAGATTAAAAAAAAAAGTAATTACGAGTATGAAAGCATGCAGAGATAGTTCCTCCTTGTTATATAAAAGAAAAAAAGATCGAAGACTTGTTATTAGGCAATTTTAATTAAGCAATACCCATGAGGCTTACAAATCTAGTATTTAAGTAACGCTAGTTATATATAAATATATATATTATATATATATTATATATATCAAATGTGATACGTTATATGAGTTACATGTGTGCGCGTGTGTGTCTGTGTACATTTTGTGTGCGCGCGAGTGTGAGTGTATGGGTGTCAAGAAAAAAATATAGCACACGCACACACACACACACCCGCGCGCACTAAAGGGGAGAAAGCGTGAGTGAGAGAGTGAAAAAGAAACGAAAAATAGCGTGAAAGAGGTGAAAAAGAGTACGAAGATTTGAAAAAAAAGTGTGTGTAAACTAATGAGAGGAGAGAGTGTGCTGGTCCGCGACGTTTATATTGTGCTGCGCAAGAAAGAACGTGAACTATTCCAAGGTACGCACCGCTATTACTTACCACCTTACTATTCCAAATAAAATAACAATATGTTCAAGAGGCAACATCAAAAAAAAAAAAAAAAAAAAATAAAAAAGAATACAATCGCAGATATCATGAAATAAAACATTCTGTGCGGAAACATAACAGAACGTATCATTATTCCGGACGTTTTTAGTGCTGAGGAAGGGTGAAAGTCATGATTCTTTGTGATAAATCATAGAAATCTTATCGCACGCGTTTTTTGAGCAATCGAAAAAAAAAAGAATGTAACTATCGAACTTAATTTGGAATTTCGACAAAATGCTTCCGTTCCAGTTCTTAAATGAACGTTTATCTTTCTGAATATGGAGTAAAAAGATATTAGAAACGAGATGATAGCTTGGAGTTCACTGTTCTTCGGCACAAGATAAATGTCCTAGCACCTTTCTACTCGTCCAAAAGCTATCCTGTTCCGTCCCAAATGCGTGTTCCATGACCTAGTTTACGTTCTTGTTATAGGGCATCCGACTTGTTTGCAATTCACAGCGAACATGATCGTTTCTGTTCGCAAGTACAGGTGGCAGTGTATCGAATGCAAATGCTGTTCCATTTGTGGTACTTCTGACAACGATGTGAGTATTCATTACCATTTTTCGGGTTTCCCTTACACTTTACGTGGCCGAGACAAAGAACGATCCACGTGCAGCTACTTCAACTATTTTGATTTTCCTCCTCTGTCACGAAAGGACAATGTTGTTCGAATACCCTTTATTCTATACATACGTTAACGTTATCTTCGTTTAGACCTTACTTTGTCGATTACTTTACGTTGATTCTTTTGTTGCTATTAACACGTTAACTATCATTGTGTAATCATTAGAAAAAAAAATGTTTATTTTCTTAGAATGATTAAAATAATATGAATTTACTTATTGATTAAATAAATTTAAAATAGTTGATTGATATTGTAATATGAAAAATTTATTCAAGAATTAATTATTTGTATTACAAGATAATATTTTACAAAATTAATATTATAGTATATCATATTGAAACATTTTAATCTATCAAGAACATTGAAACAAAACAGATCAATCACCGCGTGATTATCATTTATTTGAAAAAATTGTTGGTTTTAAATCAAAATAGTTCGAGGAAGATGTACGGAAATACATTGACGATTCTAAATCTTATCCAATTTTTTGAACTATTACAACGCGTTACTAATATCTTTTATAAAGAAAAAAAGAAAAGAAAAAGTTTATGATTATCGAAAATTAACAATGGATCAGACTACATCTGAATAAGTGAATACCGTAGTAGGGTAATCGTAAAGAGGAAGAGATAGTAAACTGTATAAAGCAACGATCGCGAATCACTACACCCAGTTAGTTAGGCATCGTTGGAAGCTAATTAATTGTTTCGCGAACCAAACTAGGATCAGCTGCTGTTCTGTGACGACTGTGATCGTGGATACCATATGTATTGTCTGTCTCCACCTCTTGCGTCTCCTCCCGAGGGCTCCTGGTCTTGCCGTCTGTGCATAGCAGAGTTTCATCGCCGTGATTAAGAATCTTTTGTCTCGTAAATAAGTGATGGATTTTATCTATTTGCTGTGGTGCAGTGGCCGTTCTCGAATTAGGAGAGTATTCTATAAGCTCACTCTTCTTTCTAGTATTACGATAAACGCAAATGTACTTTCAAGTGAACTCTTCTTTTCTTTGTAAAAGAAACTATTAATTAACAACATCGGCAGCATTAACTATTCCGCTTTTTGTTTTTCTTTTCGATTTAAGTTTCTATCGAATAAGATGAAATATCGCAAAGTATACGTAATGTATGAATAGTACGTTATATTATCTCAGGCACTGGTGATCTCAGAAAATGAAAAGTATCACAATTATGTATTTATATTCTCTAACGAACTAGCGTTTATCAGTAGATGTACGAAGGTATAAGGTCAAAGGGCTGTCTTAATGTTTCTATCGAGAACAGATGAATAGCCGCTTTAAGCTTGCCATTAAAGATAATGGGTTTAATGGGCATAACCTTAATGGTCAAGGACTTCGGCATCAGATTGTCGTTAAACATCGTTGCTTTTTTCATTGAAATAAGTTGGTTCGACAATTGCGAACATCGATAAATACTCTCCTAGTTCTCCTGGCCAATATATTTTTAGCCATTGACATTCGAAGTTCGGTTGCTTTTAGGATTTCAAAAAACTGCTTACACTTTAAACGACTTTGGAGATCTCAAGTTTTCATAATATCTTTAGCTCCTTGCTATTAACTTGGTTCAATCCAAGGTGAATGAAAGAAGCAAACGTAAGGAAAAAAAGATTGATATTCTAGGAAGAACATGATATTAATAGCATCTGTTTCATAAATAGTGATAAATAGAACACTATCTGTTTATCTGTATGTATCATGATATTAAAGCTTTTACACTTAATGACACAGCCATTACTAGCAGTATAGCTATGACATACAAAAAACTCACAGTACAGCAGAAAATTATATTCTATATGCCCTTTATTGTTAGCTCAGTATTTTTATATTTTATATATTGAATGTACTTAATTTAAGATACCGTGGTGATATTTGGTACTCATTGTTGTAACTCTTCGTTTCTTTTTTATTCGAGTAATTTTAAGGTCGCTTAACGACATGGAATTGTGTGTATTAGATGTCATGGAAATGAGTCTATAAAGATTTTTGAGTTTGAACCAGTCAATGGTGAATTTACATTTTATATTGCTTATTTTTAACAAACTGTATGCAAATTTCAATAAACATTAGTATACAACTGAACCACTAACTTTAGACAGTCTTATTGTGTGCCATGAATATTTTCTGAGTGCAGGAATATAATACATAATGATAGAACTTCTTTGGGTGCTATATTTCAGGGATTAGGTCCCTTTTGAACATTTTAGGATAACTTTATAAGATTGAAAGTCATGTCTTTGACCAAGGAAAATTATATTCTATAATTATAATGAATAATATATATATATATTTGCGAAAGTGTAATGTAAGATATTCATAAGTAACAAACAATACTCAAAACAAATATAAGTTTTTTTATAAAAACAGGATTTATATATATAAATCTATGATTATGTGTACTCATTTTTGCATCATCCCATAAGTAAGCAAATATTCTGACAAAGTATTAAACAGAGGTACTTTGTTTCCCATAATTTTTCATTACATATGTGTCAATCAATTTCTATTAAAATATCAGATAGAGGTTTTCGCCGAAGGTCAGGCACTGTAGCATCCTTTGCTGGATAACCAACTGGCAGTAGTACAACAAGCCTTTCATTAGGAGGACGTCCAAGAAGGTTGCGGATGGCAGGTCCACAGTTTAAAGGAGTAGAAGTCAGAGTTACCAAACCTGCATACTAGTTTTAAAGTTCATATATTATTAATTCATATTATTCATAGGTATACAGTATAAGAGATTATAGTATTATAACAATATTACCTGTATAGCAGTGATGAGAATACCACAAGCAATAGATGTGCTCATTTCATTATAGTAATGAATTTTCTTATTTCCATTTGGTAAAATTCCATAAATTTGCTTAAACACAAATATTAAATAAGGAGCGGTAGTCAGGTATTCTTTAATCCAATTTGTTCTTAATGGAAGTAAATCAGTTGTCCATTTTACTCCCATTCTTTTTTTATAGTTTATTTCTTCTTCACTTTCGACGATAAGACGTATTTGTTCTTTCACCTTCTGATTTGATACCGCTACGAATGTCCATGGTTCTGTATGTGCACCACTAGGCGTAGTGCCTAAAACCGATTCAGATGTATAAAAGTTTTGTGAATGTAACAACATGATATTGTACCTGCAGCTTTTATTATCTCATGTATGACTTCTTTTGGTACAGGGTCAGGACTGAAAAATCTTATACTTCTCCTAGCAGCTACTATTTTATAAAACTCAGAAGCTCGACAGAGTATCTCTTCTTCAGAGGGTCTCTTATATACATAAGGGATATGTTTTAAATTTGTTGTTAGTACAGGTTCATCGCTATTTTCTAGTGTTTCCTGATTAATGTCTAGAATATCATAACTTTTTATTTTATTAAAAAAATACATGACTAATCAGTAATTATTACATTATTACATTTATTACATAAAAATACAAGTGAATTTCACAGTTTAAATAGCATACTTTTTTATAATTATTATTTTAAAAATTTTAAACCTGGTAGTAATAATATTATAGTATTATTACCCTCTAACTGCTCCATGGTATTATCCAAAATGTTGAAATTATGTCTTTTGTTTTGAATAAAAATAGTGCCCTTTTTTAACACTTCATAAGATAATGACAAAAAAATGTAAAGTATGATACTAAACAGTATATGGTACCAGTATTTCGTCCAAAATGGTAAAAGTTCAGTAAACATTTTGAATAAAAATTTTACATTTATTTCAAGAACTAAAAGATTGAGTATACTGCTCAACGGTTTCAATTACAATATATTGAAGGCTAACAACGTAGCAATATATATATATATAAAAAGATATTGCGTTGAAACGAGTGAAGAGATACGTGTGACCTACAATAACTAAGTTATCGCTTTTAAACCGACTATGTACTCCACTACTCATGATACAAAGTAGATTTAATTAACAATTAATTTTTCGTCTATCATTTACTATACAACGAAATATTCAAGTATTTGTGTCTTAAAAAAGTATACATATTATGCTTAGTAAGTTTCTAATTTTCCAAGTGTAACGAAGAGTAACTATAATTCTTACTATATACGATTAGCGATTATTTAACAAATTTTAAAATTGTCTTTTGCACCTTCTATCGTCTAGAGAAAAAAAAAAGTATTATCTACCGAGGCATCTAATTACATCTTTAAGCAATACATGGAAACGATTTAATTATTCAGCGTAAAAGAGACTCAGGCTATTTAAAAAATAAATCCATCGAGACGCTGGCTTAGACAATGACTTTTATTGACATCCTACTATTGTTAAAGACTTGTTATTATAAATAAAGTCACTGTTTACTTTTAATAATTCTTATTCATTTCGATCAACATCGTGGTACATCGTTTCGCCTCCATGTTTTATTACGTTTCGTAAACTTCTTGCTAAGGGTTGTATATCGAGTAAAATATTCACATTTTCCTTCTTTCAATTTTAATCCTATTATTTTAATCCTATTAGTCCAGTAAACAGCGATGACTGGTAATTTTTGACCTTTAAGTATAATACAGACAGGATATTTTTCGAAGTAATTTTATTATTATATATGAATAGAAAGACAAGAAATCATAGTTATGAATTTTATTCAAAAACTATCATTGTAGTTTTATTCTAAATATATGAAAATTATAAGATTACGGACAAACTGAAAAATTACAAATATAAAATTACAAAAATTGTATAGGGACAAAAAATTATACAATTATAAAACCATGAAGAAATCATGTTATATACATTATAAAACTTTTGAAATTATATCCATTATCGTTAGAACTATTGAACTACTTTAATATATACTTAAATATATTACACATACATAATTAGAAGTAAATAATTAGAATATGATGAATATATGGCGAATAAGAAAATAAATAAATATATGTAATCATATTTTTTTCAATAAAAATATCAATATTTAAAAAAACGCATCTTTTTAAAATTGTAATCAATCTTCTACCATTTTATGTATGTAGTTCTAATGTTAATGAATCTTACAAAATTGCGTCTTATTATTAAAATATTATTCCTGTTCGAAACATTAGAGTATTCTGCATGAGAACTTAAGAAATGCATTCCTTTATAACATTCATATGTAATTCGGTGCAAAAATGTCCCTATCATTGCTAGAGAAGGATAAAAAAAAAACGGTTTATTAATGAAAATTGATCGGGATGCCTTCTCCGCTGGAATCGATAAGATCATTTGATAATCACAGAAACATAAGTTATACTGCTTGTTTTCTATAGAGAAGCAATTTTAAAATTCAATGTATTGTTGATCAATCCCCCATCAAAATTGTCTTCCCGTTTAATTTAGAATTAAATATGTTTTTCTCATCCTCTTGAACATTAAAAAAATGTTGATAACATTAGTTACCCAGTTTAATACTAATTAAGTTAAACTAACATAAAAATCAAACTAGTATTATTCGTTTCCTACAAAACTTCGTGGATTTATTACTTATTTTCAAAAGACTTGTATCTTTGAATTTACATATCAGGTTATTCCCTTTCTCAATTACAATAGTTACAAAAAGTATTTGCACAGTATTTATTTATTATTGTAGCATTTACGTATTAATTAATCAGGCCTATGGATATTAAATTTCGTATGATTATTAGTATGCAAGTACTTTCATATGACTACAAAAAGTGATACTCTGCAAATGAAATGTGAAACCTATTAAAAACACACTTCATATGATCCTCTAAACTTAACAATTGTGTATTTTGTATTCTATTGCTTACTATCAAGAGATAAAAAATGAGATAAGAAATTTTAAATCCTTCAAAACATAGTTTACTCTAGTATTTCTTTTCAACTATCAAGCAACACAAAAGTTAAAAAATCAATAATGAACTTATCATATTTTTCTATTCTCTCGTGGTTTGCATTTAATATCGCACACGGTCGGTAATCTGTCGACAGTACTGACGCACCAACTGAAACCAGTTCAGTGTTGTATATTGCGCGTTGTGGATGCGCAGTATATTGAAACGTGCGTGTCTTCGTTGTCCGTCAACACGGACGCGAGAAAGTTGTGGCAATCATGTAAAAACACGGTGTCAATGCGTCATTTCTCGGACCGATTCATTTATTCTTCGTGACAATCAGGACGATCGGTATTGTAACGCAATACAGAAAAACGATTCCATCTTGACGGTCGTAAGTACATTAGAGAAAGAGAGAAAGATCTTGTGTCACGCGTAGATATAGACCACGTACGTTTTTGCGACGAACCAGAAGATCATCGACCCGTATCGTTTCGCGAAATGTGTTCTCGCTAAAGAAGATCGAGAGTTGTATCGTGAGTGACATCGAAATTTTATCGAGCAACAGGGACATGGAGAACGCCATGCAGCCGCCACCGCCACCCCCACCCTCGGAAATTCTTGAGAATACCAGCACAGAGCACACGGTCACCCACGTCTTGACATTTGGTACGTAACATTTTTATTTTTTCTTATGTCTCAACACGGTGCCGTATAATCATAATCTCACCTATCTTTCAGTTTTGATAACGTGCAATTGATTACTAATTGTTGATAACGTTCTTACGACGTACTCGTCTGCGTCGACTAACTTCCTCTGATGTCACTTGACGTAAATATATTTAAAGAAACGTTGTGCTTTTTACTACCATAGGAATGATAGTCTTTCATATTTTTGGGGATTGTATGGTAGTTTAAAAAGTGGTTTATTCGAAATTTTTATCTGTTTTAAATGTCAGTTAGATAATCTGTAGAAAATATTGAATGAAATTTGTAGTTGAAAGTATCAGGTTTGAAGTTACTTGTCATGTTATAGTTTATTGTTCGATACAAAGTATATTTTCTTATTTACAAAATATGAAGCTTTTGTTGATCTCTCATAAATATTAATTATTTAATATTTGGTTTCTGTGTATTTAGACTGATAAAGTTAATAACAAGAAGGTAAAAAAATGCATATATATGACAGATTTGAATTTTCTTTGAAAATTATGATACGAGGGATTTCTTTTGTCCGTATTAAGCCTCAGTTAGTCAGTGTACAGAAAAAATTGAGTTGAATTTATAATCAAAAGTGTGAAGTTTAAAACTACTTGTCGTATAACAGTATGTTGTTCGATACAAAAAGATTGTCTGATTTGAAGAATATGAGAGATATAAAGTTAATTACAAAAAGATCAAAGTATGCATTTAGATGAACTATAATTTCTTTCTACAAAACAAAGTAACATTAGATAATTTGATCTAAAGTGTTTTATGGTTAGTTTAAAGTTGCCATTATACATGTAGCTTATCCTTGCCTTTCCCGTCTCATTTCTTTTTTTCTTTAAATAATGTGTAAACCGTAGCATATAGGCTTAATATTATTCGAAGGTTCTAAGAATACTACATTGGTCCTGAAATTTGTGATATTAACACACTGGCCATCATTCTCTCTTCTTTCTGAGAATAAAGGAAGCATTTGGATGCAAGATTCCCAAAGAACAGAAATGACACATATACATATGTGAACTTCTAAATTTAGTGGCTTGCCAGCCAGAAGGTGGTAGCCTTTTAAGCGAGCAATATTGGATGTTCTTTGTTGGTTGATGAAACAGAACAATGTGGTCGTGGTAGTGAAATGTTTATCGGCCTTTGTTGACATATATGGTAGATTTTAAAATAAACCTGTTGACCTTTCTTAATTAGTTTTCTGCAATGCATATTACACTTTATTATATAACTAATTAAATTGGACGATCCGTATTAGTTGTAGGTTGCTTTCTATTTGTATCGATTAACAGTAACTCCTAAACAAAAAGTACTTTCTGACCATTTTTTATATAAAATAAGCACATTACCTATTCTGAACTTTTCAAACGAAATTTTTTGAAAATGATTAAGAAACAGGTATGATTCTTTATATTTTATTTTTTTTATTTTAAATTTTTCATGAAAGAATATACATATAAATTTACACAAATTAGTGAAACATTTCTCCGTCGTTACGAAATAATATCTTAATCTTTTAATACGATTTTTTTCAAGAGAATTAGACAGATTTAAACGAAGCCAGGAAGAAATTACATAGCCAAATAATTCATGCAAAGTAAATTTGAAGAAAACACCACGCAATGATGTTGCATCATAGTCATATTCACAGTAGTTCAAGGTCATCGTATCTACACGCTCAATACAATAAAAGATATTTCGTAAGAGCAATTTTAATCAAAAACTAAAATCTTATCTACTTTACGAGAATTTGTTAATTAAGTTATCCATACAAAATATATTTAATTAAGTTTCATTTAGTCTTATCCGCTTTTCGTAATAAAGTAACAATATAAAAGTACCAGTCATACGGATGTATTTAATAATAAGTTAATACATAAAAGGAAGTTATGCTTGTGTCTAGATTTCAATAGATGTATACACAACATAATTTTATCGATCGGATAGACGTTTTGTTTATCGACGATCGATATTTATCTTTGGATGCAGGTCGGGCATTTAAACTGCACGGCAATTTGTGTCAATTATATTCTTACATATTACGAGCTATACGTTTATCTGTTTATTAATATAATCATAAATATTACACAGTTGGACTTGAGCGTATGTTTCCTAACGATATAATATAGTATATACATATCATGAATCATAAATGTCGTGTTCCTTGAAGGCGCATGCCTCTACCATGATGTTTCCAACTCTTTTTAGTATATTCCTCAACCATGCTCCTTCCTTATCTTGGTTATACGAAAACCAACATTATCTAACCGCTTAAACAACCGCGTGGCAGGGATAGACGCGTCGTGGTGGGGATACGATATTTACGATTCATGGCGTATAATTTTCTCCTCGATACGCGAAATTTCGACCAAGTCGCATTTTCACATGTAAAATTCTGGTACGATCGCGACGCAAATGGAACGTTGATCGATAAAAATATTACTGCAATAAACAGCCTGTCGACGATTTGAGCAATAAATTATTACTAAGAGAAACTGGTAATAAAGTCAATAGGCGATCCTCCTTCTCTAACCTTACTTTTCCAAGAAACTTTATAACAAAATAGAATATTTAATCCTTCTTTTTTTCTAGCATTCGTATAAAATAAGTATTTGCTGAATTAAAATTCACTTAAATGTAATCTCTTGTTTTCTATGCTCTGAAAACAAGAACATATTCTCACATTATCCATACGAGTGACTTCAATTTACGTGGCATATGTGCAAGGGTTAAAAATCTGAATCTCTAGTTTATTTTTCATTATTTCTCTGCGTACGAGACGAATCGGATAATTCGATTTCGTTGAAATGGAGAAATAAGATTAACTGGTATTACGCAACTGTGCAAGGAACCGGGTTCGGTTGATCCGTTACTGGGCGGATCTCGGTGTTTTCCAAATCAGCTGTTAGTCGCCGGTGAAGGGTGACTCGCGGGTCTCGTAGTGGGAGGCCCGCCAGTCGGC